TTCCAAACGGCTCACTTATGACGATAGAAAATGATGGAAAATAAGGTGGGGAAGCCAAATTAAAAGGAAGCACTAATGCTAGTGGTAGGATTTCGATGTGTTCTACTGACTTACACCAATTAAGTAAGTTTTGAAAAGTGTATATAGAAAGGACGGAATTGACCTTATATACGGTGAGCATATGTTCGTATGCGAAGGCGGTTTTTCAAAGAACTCAGGTAAACTTGGGTTTTTTAGGTGTAATTCACATTTATCTTGGTATGTATGAACATCTGCGATATGTTTAGACTATGTTCACTTCAATAAACTTCTGGTTTTCTAATCTTTAACAACTTGTAATGACGATCAAACAAATGATATGGATTCAACATCTGCTTACTACACAATTGCATAATCAACGTAATTTACTTCCTAATTCAAGAGTTGTAGTATTTTCTCTGGAAAGTTAGGCTAATTTTTGTAATCGAAGGGTAAAATGAGTTTGTTCATCGAAGAAAATCCAATATTTTATTCTTAAAATGTCAATGTGTTCATGAGATACAGGTGTGATTCAACTATAAATTCTCAATCTTTTGAGTGAAAGCTAACCCATCCAACTTCAAAAAACAAATTCATTCAATATAAAATTCTGAACAAGTATTACCAAAGAACATAAAACATAACCAGTCCACCTTGTTCCTCACCCGAATTCAAGCACAACGTCAAACATACTCGTTGATATAATACAAGATACAGAGTGGTGTAGTCGATAGTGTAGCAGAATAACAATGATACCCGTTTCTAATGAGATTCTAAGGATAATAAATGAATGAAAAAAGAACAATCAAACTATTCATCAAGTAATGGTAATTTGAATAACATCCTAGTAAATTTGTTGCAGTTCTCCTTTTCAGGGCTGTTTATCCGTATTTGGGCTTGGAGGCATTCACTGAGCTTCATGCTCACATTGTCACTTCCATGCATTCCACTTGGCTGAGCGATGTGGACTGCAGACAAGAGTGCAAGCTCTTCCATCTGGATGTCGGAGAGTCCACTTCGAAGTCGTTCTAGCAGTGCTGGACAATCAATAGCTGGGCTTTCTCCAGGGACGAAAGAGGCCCGCAATAACTGGAAAAGGGCCCAATGAAATCAAAATTAA